TTATATCTGAGGTTTCTATTTGTTAATTATTTCTGGCGATGACAAGCTTACTTAGTAACCAACCAAAGCTCTTCAGGAAATTCATTCTAATTTTAATGTGGAACTTTTAGAAAAAGCCTGAGATTCTTCAAGAATTAAAACATGCAATCGAAGATATGAAGACCAAGATGGTGTGACTTTTTGTGTGGTCGCAGCCTACTTTCGTTGTATAGAGGTTGTTTCACCTTTTTTTCGCAATTTGGTCATATTGGTAGGAATACTTAGAGGAATGCACCTAGTCCGGAGTCCATTGTATGCATAATAATTTCCAAAGTCGGACTATAGATGTGGTGGATTCCCAGTCGTTTCGCCGTAATCGTAGTCGGCATCGTCAGTGAGTTTTGCCATTCTTTACACCATACTACAACTCATCAAAGTGACAAGTGAAGCCGATCCTTTGGCCAAATGTGTGCTAAACAGTTGTGGAATCTCTCCTGCCCAGGGCTATTCACATTTCCTATATCCTCGTATCAAGCCTTCACTGTTACAATTTTTACCGTGCTTATTTAGATGTGTTGTAGCGTGCCCTTTTGAGCGGCATTAATGCGAGGCCTCCACATTTTACGCTGGCGTTCTCTCTCCCCTTCACCCTTCTGCTGGGAATGTTGATCAGAGTCTGCCATATTGTAACACAGTCCTCTTTCCCTAGGTCTTATCAGAGTCTCCGTCTTGCCCCGTAGAATCCATCTGCTATCTCTTCTGTTTAAGTATTTCACTCTACCCCTGCCACTCTATCTATGCTACTCGAGGCGTTATTACCCATCCCCTGCATCTGGGTGACTTATTCGAGGCTGAAGCCTCTGAGTGAGTCTCATGATCAAGCCTTTGCTACATGGACCATGTCCTTGGTACAACCAACTGTCAGCCAACTTGCTCCAGTCTCCGCTGCGTTGTGGTACTACTTGCTTTGATTTGGTTCAATGTTTAACCACAACTTTTGTAGGCTGACACACAAGAGACTAGTGCATAGCAAGTCATATGTTTGGTATTAATGATAGAAACAGCGTAGATATGGCGGAGACTGGATCTAGTTGGCTGAAAGTACTTTTTACCAGAGACTTGGTCCATGTAGCAAAGACTTGACCATGAGACTTACTCATAGGCTTTAGCCTCGAATTAGTCACTCAGACGCAGGGGATGTGTACTGACGCCTCGAGTAGCACAGATAGGGTGGCAAGGTTCAAGTGGAATACTTGAACCAGGGAGAGAGTAGACGGATCCTATGGGGCAAAAGGGAGACTCTGATAAGACCTATTGAAAGAGGACTTCGTTACAATATGTCATACCTTGATCAACATTTTCAGCACAAGGCTGAAGGCGGGTTAGAACGCCAGCGTGGAATATGGAGGGTTCTCATGAAAGCCGCTCAAAAGGGAACAGAAAAACAAATAGTGATAGTGAAGGCGTGATACGAGGGTATAGGAGAGGTGAATGGCCCAGGACAGAAGGACAGATACCACAACTATTTAGCACACATTTAGTCAAAGGATCGGCTGCTCTTGTCTCTTTGACGAGTTGTAGTGTGGTGCTAAGAATGGCAAGCCTCAATGACAATGCCGACTACTATACCGACTACGATTTCGGCGAAACGTTTTGGAAGATACCACGTCCACGGTCCGACTATAGAAATTATCATGAATTCAATGGACTCTTGACTAGATGCGTTCCTCTAAGTCTTCTTACCAATATGACCAAGTTGCGAAAACATGGTCAAACAACTTCTAAAACATGCAATGTTTTCCATGGTTTGCCATTTTATTGTTTTCTTTGAATAAGGATCTATTTTCTAGACTATTTTTAATAAGAAACGCCCTTGTGTTAAGCTCATTTTGAGTTTGTTTTCTTTTTATTGACTTTGGGTATTGTATTTTTTTCATGAGCAGAAGTGATTAGACATATCTCTCGGACTAGCTATTTCTATCATTCGCAAAACCCATGATTATATCAAATTTCATGCGTTTGTGGTAGTATAAAACTGAGTTGTAGTCTCTATGAGAGCGATCACACTGAAGAGTTATGGTGGATGTTTTTAAAACCCGACTTAAATTTTCACAAGCTTAGCCCTCATTATCTCAACTATAGTTGCTTACCAACTTCATCTAGAACATGATTTCCCCTAGGACATTAAACCTTGATGTATCGAGCCTAATGTTAGGCCTTTGTGATTTCTCGGATTTAAGACAGGTATTTAATATAGGCGTTAGCACACATACACACACATTCAAGTAAAAGTATCAGAACTAATATGAAAGAGAACTAAACAGACACTTTAATATCTATATATTTTCGTTTTTTAGTATCTAGGTATATAAAACATATAGGATATAGGTTAACAGTATAATTGACTTAATGTTTGCTTAAGACTTATCAAAAAATGAGTTTTAACTCTGATAATTTCTGTCATATAACGAACGGAAGTTCCTTCCACTTTCACCAGAATTGAGGGAGGATGCCTTGTGGACTCTGCCTATCTCAATGCCACGTTAAAGCCGAGCTGCTGCAGAACAACGTGGATGATCCCTTGTCTTTCAGTGAGATGATTCAACCATTCTCATTGTGCACATTTATATGAAATGAAAGTCTCCATAACATTGCTATACTAAGAGATTAATCGAAACCAAGCTACCCTAGACACGAACTTTTCAATACCATTCTTAATTTTCCTCACAAATCTTACGTTTGGTGGGAAGTAAATAAATGTGATATTTAAATTATTTCGTAGCTTAGTATCAGCAAATTACTTTGCTCTCAAATGATAAATCTTTTATACGATTTCAACATTTTTCAACGAGCTATACAGCTATTGGCAAACGGGCATTTTTATTTAATCTGGTTCACATTCTTAGTTATCGTTTTTAAACAGTTTTTATAATAAATTTGAAATGTAAGAAGTCGGTTGAACTCATTGTCGCAACTTGGTCTTGTTGAAATGTAAGGTTTATTCTCAAAATTATTTGCTTATAGATAAGCTTTATTATTGCATTGCTAATTAGTTTCCTTATTAGAGGCATTTCATCGAACAAATTTTAAGTATTACTCAAGCAATAGGTCAGTTTTGCGCCACTATCATAAATACACTCGTGGTTGACAAATTCAATTAATTTAAGAATTGACATAGCCCATATAATAAGCCCACTGCAAAATATTTTTGTTATATTTAGTAATCCCGCTTCCTAGCCTACTATATAAGAAATTGATTTCCCATTAAGCTGCATTTTAACGTCTTTTTATTGTGAGGATTAAGCGACTTTACCTTCATCTCCTGACGGCGAATGTACGTTATATTTTTGAAATCTTACATCATCTTACTTATAGATACCTCTAGATTTATCTGTTGAGTCTCAGCGCTCTCTGCGTTCTTCCATCGGACCTTCATCAAATGCTGGCTCCGCAGCTTTAGCCGCCGAAGCCGCCAGGACGCGCCGTGAGAAGATTATGGCGAGAATGTCTGGTGCACAAAGGCGTTTCATCACTCAGCTTGGGGCCGATGCTGCGGCCGCTTCCGCGACAAAGAACTCTTCAGAGTTAACTTGCGTTACTACTGGAGAGGCCATTGATCCAGAGGAGGTATAAACTTGTTTTCAATTAAGTTTTAGCTCTGATTCTGTTTTAGATCTTAGATATATTTGTAAAATCTTTATCCATCACCTTTCCTTATGCTTTTCCGGCGCTCATAAAAGACTTTTTGCTATTCTTGAATTACTTGGTTCTAACTGCATCGAATGTACGCATTATTTTACTTTCCAATTTTGCATCTTCCCTTTTTGTAAGCCTTCCACTGAATCTATGGACTTTGAGTCAGAGTCTTTTGAATCATCAAGACTTCTTCGCCCGGCTGCATTGGGTCTGAATCGTCAATTACCCGAATTTATGGTTCCTACTAATTCTGCTGCACGTCTACCCACCACTTCTACTGTTACCTGCACTCTCTGTTTGGTAAGGCTTAGATAAAACTGATATATTCAGAATAAAGCCTACTTGTTTATCTAAATAACGATATAAGTATTCATCTTCACTCAACTTTGCTACCTAAACACATTTGGTTTTTCATAAGGCTTTCTCTACCAAAGAGGCTAGTTAATACTTTTTTTCCAGTCTTATTTGAACCTTCCAAGCGATTTGAAAACAAGCCTCTTATTTTAAATGACACTTTGTCATTCAGACAAATAGGCCTAGCTAAAGCAAGCCTATGCAACTTTTAGAACAAGGGAAGTCTCTCCCAATTCACACCTAGTGGGAACAGATATCTATATGCTTTTGAGCACAACCAAAAAATTTAATAGTGTTACTACTTGTTCCCACCATTTATTTGTTCGCCAGCTATCTTTATTTATTTGTGTATGTACTTTATTATGTAAATTAGAAGAGGGATTTATTTGCTTTAAGCCTCATTTGCTCACAGACTATTCTTCTAGCTGGCTACCTCTTTTTTGACACCTCCGGTATGAAGCCATTCTGAGCCAATTAAACCCAAGAAAGGTAGAAAGTGCAGTTTCGAAAGGGCGAACCATCAATCGAGAATGGCTAAATGGAGTAGATAATTATCGTGAGGGCTTCTTATATCAGCCAGCTTATTATATTTTGGTTCACAAGAATTGATCTATGATGATCCAACAAATGCTCTAAATACTAGGAAACTAGTTTAAAAATTCTAGATTAATTCTGCTGCTCCTCATCTATGCAACTCACTTGGGCTTTGTGAGGCAATTTTTTTACGCGAAATTTATCACAAAGTGTTTCATAGATTTTCATCATCCCTCTGACCAAAATATAAACGCAAGATTATTTAAAATTTTCTTCACATTCAGCGACTTTATCATTCCATCATATTCATCATTTTTGTTTAATGCGTCAATAATTTGCTGAAAACACGCTTAAGGCACTTAAATATTACTAGAATTCGCTTATGATACATTAATAGCTTCACCCAATCATTCAATACTCTATTTGAGGACATAATTGTATAGATATTCTTGGGATTACCAGTCAATCAGCAGGATTTTTCTCATTTTTCGTATTAGCTACACTTTTGAAATATGGAACCTTTCTGCATGATTATGTTGTGTTCCAAAGCAGTACGTGGATTTTATCTAAAATATAAAACACTTGCCCTCTACAATTCTATTGATGGAGGCACTAAAGCGAAGAGAGAAAAGGAAAGATAGTACTACCAATTTGCCCTATTTTGAAACGGTTGAATACAGTATGGTGGGACTGACAATAGAAAGGCAATCATTTAAGGATGGCGCGAAATACATCATTTTAAACTCCG